TTCGGACGTCACATGTCACGTGATTTGAAGCAAGCTTCGAAGCACTGCTTCTATGGAATAGGAAGTCCAGGGTTGAAGCTCCGTTCGAAGCTTCAGTGTCAAACTGCCATCACTAGTAACAAGAGTCGTTATCAATTTGTTTTAAAGATCAATAAATAACAAAGAAGACCTCTGACAGGCGCTTTTCTAATTTTGTCCGGAAGATTTAAACTTTAACAGACATGTTGACCGGCGGAAAAAAATCTAACTGAAACTCTGCCGCACGGTCCCCTCGTCCCTTGGAAGAGGCGGAGAGGTGGGTGTTTGTCATCTGCTGGTGGACTACCGGAGGGAATTACAGCGCTTGCCTCGACGGGGATTGCATTGAATTACAGCAGCGGGAGCAAACGCTTGCCTCGTGGAGGGAGAAAAAGAGCAAGAGCGTCCACAGCAGAGAATAAACAGAAGGGCAACCATGCGCGGGAAGTGTTCTTCACTGCTTTTGTGGCAGGAGTATAGCGCCACTTACAGGCCCGGCATATGTACTACAGCATCTCCAGCGCTTTCGAGCGGTCTCGTGTGAACGGACACGTTTCTGGTGCCTATTGCGTGTGGAAGGAAGACTTTTTTGATATCGATTTCGGTCCGTTTGCGTTATCGTCCTCGTGTGGCTCCAGCCTTAGGCTTTTGCACATTGTAAATGACAGGCTAAGGGGCGGGACATCTCTCAGCACTAATCACAACAGAGCCAGCCAGCTAACCAATCATAGCAGACTGGGCTCTGGTTTCAGATAGAGGGGGAAAAGAGGTGCTGCAGCACAGGCAGTATGAGAAAAATAAAGAGCTTTCTGAACATTAAAGCACTGAAACATGTCACAGTAGAGGCACAAAATACAAATATGAACTTGAAAATGAGCATAATATTTCCTCTTTAAAAAACACCCTAATTTAATGCGTCAACAATAATATCCTGTGGTTAAAATTACGTTTTACATCCTAAGAAAGAAACAGCTTGTAAACCTTTGACTAGCGATCCAAATGAAACATAAGCAAACATGAGAGACTATATGGACTTGGAACTGTTTTGAACATGTTTTATGTGTGGTGAAATGGTGGCTTTTACTGGACTTGAAGGATACGTTCTATCTTCTTGTTGTTGAACACGGGGCTCTCCTGGGCCTCCATGACGTCCAGGGTGTAGAGCTTGTGATGGCGGCAGTAGGACAGAGCCAGGGAGCACCATGCCGCCAGCTGCTTCTGTCTGGTGTCAGCATTGGGCTGTAGCCTGTCCACAAAGAGAGGAAGACAAGGAGACGTCAACACTGAAGGACAAACAACAAGCTAATGGCACTCACTGCAAACAGAACACACACACACATCAGTGTAAAGCTCACTTTTCTTACGGCATTTTATTAAGTAGATTTAAGCTATAGATATTAGGGAAGCTGTCATCAATAGTGTCATGCTTTAATTTTACAGCTTGTTCATGTTATTTGCTATATCTTCCTTTTTTTAAGAATTCTGCATGTCCAGGCATATGTGTATTTTGTGAATATTTGGACCGTTGTGCTATGTTTAAGTTGCGTTAGATTTTGTGAAGAAACAGACATTGTTATTGCATCAGAGAGAAGGGCACGTTTCTTCAGATCACATCCTTTTAAGGGAAAAACAAACAATTTTAAATAAAGTCCCCCTGAATACAAAAACAATAAATGGAAACTTTGGTTGAGTCTGTTCTTTCTAACATTATAAGTCCTGTATTTATTTATTCATTCTATTTGAAGTCACCTGTGAGGACATTCACAATAAAGGACACTACGGTAAACTTGTGGCTAATGATAAACCTTATCATTCTCCCATCCCTATTTATGAAAAATAAAACCCGACCAAGCAGCTAAAATTCAGATAAGACAACATTTACTGAAGGATGATACAGTGAGAGATATCCTGAGACAGTAGTTAGATATTTTTTATGTCAGCCTGGAGGACCGACTTCTGGACGCCTAAACTATTATCAAAGGTTGTGACCTTTTAAATATCTTCTCATTTAGAGGTTGTTTATACAATAAATATTCCAAGTTTCCGTATGATGACACGCCTATGAATGCTTTCTCGTTCAGTTCCATAGAGAAAACTGTGATTTCCCATATTTACATTCAAATTCAAATATTCACTTCATCCTCGCTGAATTCTGTGAAGCCCTTTGGAAGTAAGATTTAGGGGGAGGGGATATCTGTAACATCATCAGCTTATGAGATACAAATCCCTAAAAGTGGCCTTTATTGGTCGGGAAGAAAAAACGCCTTCCCACTTATCCCCTAAATTAGATTTATATTACTTTTTATTTTCCATTATATTCTGACCTGAAGGTTGAGGTCATTATTTTAGCTGCAAAATCAAAAAAATTGGCTGTTTGTGTGTTGTTTTCTGCCCTACTATAAAACAACAGGGTGTCATGTTAAAGCAGTGCAGAAAAGATTGTAACAGTCACTTAAAGTGCTTTAACATTATTGCCAATTGGAGTAAAGTTCATTAAAAAAAAAGTTTTACTGTATAATACTCAGTTGTCAAAATTAAATAAAAGCAACCAACGATTGTGATCCAATTTAAAAATAGGGTGAAAATGTTTTGGTAGCAGCTATTACTATAAAGGGTGTGACCAATAATACAATTATATTCGCTAAAGCTTATATCACAAACCAGGTCACATAATCTGACGGGTAACCAATTTGGCCATAACTCTGTTCAATAGTTGGTGAGCATGTATGTATTATATTCATTATCGTTGGTGGCATACACACACTGTGTAGTCTGGTAGCTGAAGTTGAGGCAGTGATGGCTACCAAAACAGCTAACGTTAGCTGGAGCTACGAGCTAAACTCATTCGCTAAACTCGCACACACCACCATTCCTCATTAAGATGTTTATTTTGAATTGTATTTAAAATGTCAAACCTAAACAAGTCAAATAGTGGAGTTCACAAACTTTAGAGAGCCACTAGAAGAAAAACAGGTCCACTTCCCTAGCTGTTTTGTTTTAGCAAGGTAGCTCCGGCTACCATGATAGTAGCTAGCAAAGCAACACACTTCGATTATTTAACAAAGAAACAATGGCGGTTCATAAGTAGGGCTAATACATGTTTTAAATGTGGTTTAGAAGAATTGACTCACGTAAAAAACGGTGGGAAGTTATATTGCCAGGGCCACTCAAAACTCATTGCAGTTGATGCGGTGCTCAACTTCCGGAAGTCCGTCCCACCGCTCAAATGGTTCCGACTAGCTACACAGATTTTACACTTTACGAAATAAACATAAATGATAGGAATATATATGAATAAATCATTATATATAAATATTAAATACATGTATTTATTTATTTTTTAAAGACAGATTTATATCCAATTGATAACATATAAAAAAGAATAACAAATAAAAACATACACAATTAATAGAAACATTTTACACAAATATACATATATATATATATATATATATATAAATCTTAAATACATAAACTGAATGAATGGTAATACGTGCATTTACCCAATTATTTTAGTGCACATTTTTACATTTGTTAAACAGCCTTACTGTATACACTTCTTGTATTTATAGTTATCTATAATTATTATTATGGTAATAAATAATATAACATGCCTAACAAAAACAGTCTAAAAGGGAAATTTGGCAAAATTAACAATTTCACTGTGATAATTAAAGCACATTGCTGTTCATATTTCTTTACTCAAGCTTTAGTTATATCATATTTAACTTGTTTCAAACCTACACCATGTGAATTAATCCCATGTTTACATTTTCATGACCATTGTGACAGAAATGAATTCAAAGCTGTAGTTTTTTTACAAAGTTATTTTTTATTATGGAATAAATTGTGCATTTCCAACAACTTTCAGCATAAACATGCCTTCTATTTCTATTTACAGGTCAGGAATGTCTTCTAGAATCCACTTTTCTTTTTCATGGTGAGAATCTTTTTACTGTCAAAGAATGCATCACTAGTTTACATTTCTATGGTGTTATCATACAGTTTCTTAAAGAACAACATGATCGGAAAGTGGGATTTCATTCACTGGAAAATAATCTATAAGTTGCACAAGTATTCTTTGTTACCATCTATTTCACAGCAAGGTGTTGATATTAATATTTATTTTTATACAGGTCTATATTACAATACAATTCATGGGTAAAAATGATACAATATTAGAATACAATCTCAGTTATTGCCATAGGTGATAAACTGTATTTTCAAATTTAAAACAAGATTTAAATGTCATTAAACTTTCTAAAAAATAAAGATGGAGGCAATTATTGAACATTTCTTTAAGAGAGCATTAATGCATTCGTCCAGGTTTGACTTCGGTAGGTTCTAGGTGCGATTTAGACAAGCAAGTAATAAAAAACAAACAAATAAAATCTCAGGAAAGTGACTTGTGAGATTAAGACAGCTAGAGTGGAGCGAGAGCAATATGACGGTCCTTTTTCAACCTAAGCAACAAGCTAAAAAGCTCTGAGAAAGGAAACCTCATTGGATTTCCAACCCTACAATACTGCCGAAGATAGTTGTAACAGCGTCAGCCTCCTGACACTGTGGTTTAAAATGCTTCAAATATTCTCAGCTAAGACCATTTGAAGATTGATTTTTTCTAATTTGTGTGGTTAAACCTTAAATATTCTGAGCAAAGAAAACTTGAAGGGCCCTTTTACAAGAGAAGTTTCATTTTAGACGTTGCACTGAAGCTTTTTATGTGCATGTAAAAAAAGGAAATCTAGAACTTCAAAAAGCTTGAGCACATTCAGACGATTGTACAGCTCTTCACTGGAGGCTCGTGGCGGCTTTAGCTGGAATAGAACATCAGCTCGTACTCGTTCAGGACGAACTCCACTATCTGGTTCTGGAAGACCATGTGCATGGTGATGTTGCCCAGCTCCATCTCTGGCCGGAGGAGAGTCGGACCGAATACAATAGCCACATTCTGCACAGTCATGCGATTGTCCTCCCCATATTCAATGAGCCTGTCAGAGAAAAATAAATAGGATAATGTAATAAGTCCTAATTTCCTGTTTCTTTTCATTTCAACTATATACTTTTACATCAAGATCTGGAACAAGTTGATGCAAACCAGAAGGAAAAGATTAAATAAATAAATGTTTTGAAAAAATAAATAAAAAACACCTATGACTTTATTATTGTTTTTATGATTATAATTTTGTATTCATTAATTCATATATATTCTTTCTCTCTAATTTATTTATATGTAGTACTCTTATATTACTGTTATTCACTTTACAATTTGATATGAAATAGAAATATATAATTACAAAAAGAAACATACCTGCGTAAATGCCCAAAAAGGAGTTTCATGGTATCATGATTTGAAGGAGGAAGGGACCTGACCAGCTCATACATGCAAGACGCTTTTGTGTTGTAATCAGGAATTCCTAGAAAAACAGGACATGATCAGTTATACAAATAATACAAATATACAAATCACTGTTTGCAATATCAATATTAATCTTAATATTTGCTATTTTTACACATTAAACACAAATGATTGCCGTTAAGGGTGATTTAGTTGGTCAAAATTTGATTTTTGAATAAAAGATCTGCTTACTGATTGCTTCGATGAACTTATTAAAGTGGCTGAAGGGGAAAAGCGGCTCAGGAAGCTCTCGGAAAAACAGCTTCAGCGCTCCGGTGATGACGTGAACGTCTTCCCACTGTCCGTCCTCCAGGTCCAGCTCCTCTGTGACAACACAACAGGGGCACAGACTGTTAAAGCACAGCAGGGGGCGCTGCTGTCTGCAGTGACAGCCTGCAGTAAACTACCATATGCATACTTCCTCTGCATGAAGAATAACTGAATACATTGACCTTAATGCACTTATTTGTGTGGTAAACTTTACCATGATCAGCCTTGAAGCGTAGTTTCTGAATGACAGCCAGGTTCCCGCTCACTCTATAGAGTCCGTCAATGTCTAAACCTGTAAATGATCACACAGTAAGTCAATTTGTATACTGCACACAGAGAAACAATACTTCCATCATGATTCAGAAAGTCACACAAACAACTTGGATTACCTCTCTTTTCCACTGCTTTGATACATTTCTCCACAAAACTAGGAACTGTGGCCCTTTCTTGTGCGCACAGTGTGCCCAGATGGCATCCAAACACATTGTCTATGGGAAGAAAAACATTATTATCATTAGTTGTATTAGTACGTAATACTAAGGAGAGTGAATGAATAAGTCCTACAATTGAAAAATATAGTTGTGATTTGGGGAAAATATAACATAGAGAGAAGAAAATATATGCAGAGATGTAGCTGTTGGGGTTTCAAAACTACACATAACTCATTTTGTAACATTAGAACATGTCCATACAGATTATGCATTACACGTCATGTACTGTAAAAAGTATGGATTACTCTCAGGCAGACTATAGCATGCATATGAGAAGTTAATTTAACTGCCATAAAAAACTATAATTCAGTACAAAATAAATAACGATATCCAAATTTATACATGCAAATACAGATTATAGAAGATTATATACACAATATGTCACCGATTAAAATTCCTTAGACTGCGCAGGCTGTATAAGATATCATACTCCTCCTATGCATAAAAATAACTGATGCAATTTTATTTAAATATGTGAATAATGTATAATTCCATTTAATGTCTTCAGTTATAATTGTGCTTTATGACACTTGCTTTTATGCTGTCTTTCTGAAAAACAAATGTCCTGTTGTGGGTGAAAAAGTATCTGACCTGACATGAAATGCACACTGGAAAATACAAAACAGTGTGTGTTTAAATATAAGTATGACCACAAACAGGAAGTGTTCAATGTCAGGTTGAGTGAAACTGACTTTTCATTTAGCTTCTATTCAAACCAGTCACAGCCTGAAGAGAACAACATTATGTTTTGTTATGTCATGTTGTTTTTACCTCGGATGTAGCCTTTCTCCTTCACAGACTGCAGCGTGGGCCGTTTCATGAGGAACTTCATCAGCTTGGTCCGAACCCTCTTCTGGTCCGAGTCTCCTGCACCGCTGGAGGAGTGTGTGACGGTCGTCTTGGAGGCTGGAAAAATAAATGTTATATATTAAAATAATTGTAGCTCTTGATGGGATCTGATGTGTCTAACTGGGTCAGAATGATGACATTATTTACAGCGCATTAAAAACAAGAAGATTTCAGCGTACGTCTTCGTTTGTCAATGCCGCCTCCTAACTTGTCGTCTCGCTCTGTGCCGCCAATCTTCTCGTATAAGTCCCCGTCCTCATCCTCTGAGTGATGGTCCTGGTACTCCTGATCAACAGATACACAACGGGAGTCAGTCAGAGAAACTTACAGCAAACTGTCTGCGCAATTCCCACTACTAAACCTTAATTAATCCATGTAATAGTAGTGTAGGGTGTCAAATATAGATAGAATATGATTTAATTTATGAATTCAATAACTTGGGAAAAAATATTGTTATAAAGTGACCTGGAGTTTTGGGAAAGAATATTTCTGGGTATTATGGACATAGACTGACCAATACATAGCATATTTGTTCAATAGGAATCAAGGTGATATCTGCAATCATGCTCATTTGGAGATATATTTAAAAAATGTCAACCATCTTACAGTGTATAAGTCTTTCCTTAGTCTTAATAAGAATGTCAGTCTTAGTTTTTTTTATGATTTCAATCCAATGCTGTTACCAAGCATCTGCAGTAATTAAACAGAAATGATTTGATTAGCTGGAGATTTATCTGCAGTTTAAAGGGGATCATTTTGATGGAAGCACTTACCAGTTGCCGTATGGTGTCCACTAAGACTTTGTGCCAGTCATGGATGATGCTTTCTGTGTCGTACTGTACCAGGAACTCTACGCCGTTCTTTCCTTTTAACTGGAGGAGAAATAATGATATAGTTAGAATGGCACAAAGAATAATCAACTGGCAATGTTGGTGGTAATATTGATTAGTTAATTTTCAACCCATTGTACCTTTAGGGTCTTTCAAAATGTATGGAACTTTTTTTCTCATACTTCCATACATAATAACCACTTTATAGAACATTATATTCATATGGTTGTTGTGACACAGTGACATATCCATAATTCCCTCTCCCTTTGACTTTAATATACCAATAAAATACAACTTTTATTTTGAACCTGGCTCTATCCGATATTCAGATGTCTGTTCTGGAAATGGATGTACATTTGCATATTTAAACATAGCATGTACAAATAAAAAGAATATGAATATAACTAATCATGGTGATAGAAATCATGGTGTTAGAAAAAGGACCTTAAATTCTTGTAGTGTCTCAGCTTAATATTTGATTTAAATACACAAGATCATGTTAGAGAAGCAGGAACACAGTATGGGCTCAGTTCTTAATGCTAACATGCTAACAGCTACACACATTGCATTATGTTCCATGACAACAAACAAACACCTCTAAAACATTCTTCTTGCTGGATTTATCCTTCGGGGCCCAGCCAATGGTAGCTCCTCGCAGGTCCACCGTGATCTCTGGAACGATCTGATTGGTTTTAATCTGTGCGGAGGTAAAGAAAAGAAAATACAGCTGTTTATGAAACTGACACTGCTGCATTCCAGGAAACAAAAGCTGTGACTGTCCCTGTCAGTCACCGACCCGAGGGCTTGTCTGTGCCGTCATTCCTCATAAAGTACACATCAGCCTGCATCACTCTGTTTCATTTGCTTTATTAGATGTAGATGAGACGTTGACATGATGCCAATGTGCAGACTACATCAAAAAAAGCTTAATGCAATTTAATAAGAAAAGTCAGTGTTTCATTTGATCTTGAACCTCCCAGAAGTCCAATATTTGAAGGAATACAGCTTGTCAGAGTTTCTTGTTAAGAACTATGAGCACTTTCCTCGAATAACAATATTAAAATCCTTTAATTTGAATAAAACGTATGCGCGTAAATCATACCGAAGTCCCTATAGTTGCAGACTTTGGATCTTTGTGGAACGTCAGCACTCCTCCGTGGAGAACTGTCCATGTCTGAGCCCAGTTCTTCCTGAAAATTGAAGAAAACCTGTCACTTACACAGAGAAAGCAACAAAGACCTTTACGGGAAGATGACACATGATTCCAAACACACCCAAAATCAAATACTGAAGCGTGAGACTCTCCTCTCAGTGAGGTGTTAGCTTACCTAACTTTCTTGCCATTGTCACACACTTTTGTTTTGTTGAGGATACCGGCTTTCTCCAAGTTCTGCACCTGAATAAAACATTTTAACTCTTTATACTGTAAGTGTAGGCCTTGTACGGGCAGTCAAGTTATGTGATGATTTGAAGGACAAGCGTTTTAAGTCACAATATTGAACACTATAAAGCTATGCATGCAGACAGCAGTCACATTCATAGTTGTATTACAATCCATGCAAATGATGAAATCCTTATGTTAAATATCCTGAAAAAAGTCACAGATTCTATCATCCAACTATGTGTAGTGTCGCAGAGGGGATTTACAACATTCACATAATTGTAAGATTATTTAACAATACTTCAATATTACTATATTTGTATTTTGTGCCTCTACTGTGACATGTTTCCATGCTTTAAAGTTAAAAAAGGTCTTTATTTTTCTCATACTGCCTGTGCTGCAGCACCTCAAGAGGCAGTCTGCTTTGATTGGTTAGCTGGCCGCCTCTGTTGTGATTGGTCAACTGCATAGAATTGTCCCGCCTCTTAGCCACATATCACGTACAATGTGTTTGAGTGCTAGCCAATAGAAGTGTGAATGTTTTGTAGTGATGTTACTATATTACGGAAGTAAACAAAGGAGTCCAATGAAGGCACAAACCTATGCAAATGACTACAGACTACAGGAAATGTAAAAGTCCAAAATGCATAATACAGCCCCTTTAACAAAATGATAGACCAAAAATAAACAAGGTGTTAGTCCTTTTCTTAGTATTTTCTGACTTCCCCTCCTTGTCTTTAACATTTAGCCTCAAACTCATTCACTCTTTAAAGAATGGTTTTTGTCAACACCACCAAACACAAGTAAATAGTGCATTTGTTGGAGACTACTTGGTGCTCTAGTGATTATTTGGAGCAGCAGGGTGGTGTATGTAGGATTGCTCAAAAGTATACTACAGTGTCCTTGTGTTTGTGTTTATGGTGATGAAGGAACATGCACCCAGTTCAACAGTATGACTCAGTGGTGTGTTTTCAAAAATAGTTTTGGACAACAATGAAGCTCTATGGCACAGAGGAAGGAGATACATCAGGCTTTAGTTACACATGCGATATTTTAAAGGGGTATATAGAGAGGCTTTAACTTATCGCTATAAAGTCAATGTTTGACTGCACATAAAATGGTTGTAAAGAGGATGGCAAATATGTATTTTTCGGTAGCTGTTTACTAAAGAGTATCAATGTAAGTTATTTGCAGGTATTAGTGGAAATGCAGGACGGTGGAACAATCGTAGTTACTACGGAAAACATAATTCAGCGTCTCACGTGCAGTGTTGTCAACACATTTCCAATTAAAGTAGCTCGTACTAGTTCCAAATGTCTGGTGGCCAAAGAGCTGTTGCCTGCATTCAAAATGATTTACAATTTCATACATTAGAGTATATTTCTTGGTTTTTCCATAAAGGCTTGAATAAGTAAATAAAAATTGTGGAAGTATTTGACTTTCCCGGACTGTTACTGAATGAAAACACTAATGGAGAATAAAAAACCACTTAATTGTTAGTACGTAAAATATATACCGGTATGTATATATTTTGTTTTATCAAGACTGTTGTTAAGCAACATGTTATGAAACTATGTGACCATATATACTTTATTTTTCCCCTGCTGCTATTTTAGCTTTTTCACGGTGTATTTAAAAGTAAAAAATCTGAAGCAAATTGTGCGGCACTTTAACCCCTGAATACAGAACAAAAGTCCTAAAACCCCATGAGGTAGATGAAGATGGGAATGTAGACAGTTGGTTTATTAGTTCGGATGTAACATGCATGACAGCAACAGAAATCCAAATCAAACAAAAAATTGTAATTGATGCAAAAATTGAAACATGTCTTTTCAGATGCAGCAATGCAACTTGTGGGATCTTAAATTACACGTGTGGCTCATCAGATAGATGCTGCTATCTATGAGTCGAGCTCAGCTTAAACTAACAACCCACATTATAGCGCAGCCACCTGGAGGTCAGATAATAGGGGTTTCTCCAGGGTCTAAACCCAAAAGCCTTAAGAGAGAAACACAGAGAACCATTCAGACACAGGGCGGCACAAAGGGCTAACTTAAGGGCTAACTAACTATATTCTCAGCCTCAAGTTATTTGAATGTTAAAGTATGAGTACATTAACATGACACAACGTTCACCCACATCATGCTGCGTCTCCGGAGAGTTCCCCGTGCTGGAGCTGTCGCTGCTGTAGTCGGACGTGTTCCTCTTGTGAGTTGGCATGCACCTCTGGACAATATTAAAATATTTTTGTTAGAATAAAAACCAGAAAGCAACAGATAAGATGTCATTTCTTTCAAGGATGTGCACGTCTCTTGCAGAAGCTGTGATAAGACAAAAACCTGTAATGCAGTAGAAATGGTGTCCTTTTTACCCGTTAAAGTGATTTCCATTTGCTTAATTGGCTTATTTAATTAAATTGTAATCTTGTTTTCTTGTCTTTATGGTTGCATTTATGTCCAAGCCTCCATGTCCCTTCTTCCATTCTTCATATTAATAAAAATAGACACAAGACTAATATGTCCATATACTTCTTGTGCCTTTGTTCAGGGGCTGTTTTTCTTGGTTTGTCCCTCAATACTCAATGATCTCTCAAGTCGAAATTTAAATAGTTTAAAGATTTGTTCTATTTTTAGTTTTGATTTTTAAATTAAATTGTAGTTTTTAAATTGTTTTTGCTATTGGTTTAGTTTCAGATTTTTCAGAAAGGTTTAGTTTTATACATTAAGTTTTATGGTCGTTTATTTTTTTTGGAGCCAGCTATAATGTATTAAAAGTATTTAGCTACATATACCATACAATACACATGGCAGAAGAACTATGTAGAAATGGGCATAATATTGAACTTCAGTCTGTTCAATTTTATGTCAGGAGAGTTCATTCATTCTGTCCCTTTTTGCTGTAGAGATGTATTAGAGGAGCACATTTTTAAATAAATGTATGTGTATTTTAATTAAATTACCTGGCAATTTCCTTCTTATCTTTTTTTTTAATTAAATAACATTTTTCGTTTTAGTTTAATTTTACTATAATAACACACCCCCTTCCCAGTCCCACTCCCCCTCTCCCTCTGCAGTTCTGTGCTCGAGCAGTTGCTGTAAATACGAGTTGACTGCAGTTGATTTGCCTTGCTAAATAGGGGTTTTAGAAACATGGGAGTGTCAGTTGTTAAACGGAGACTCACCCTCACTACTTGTGGCAGACTGAAGCTTTCTGTGTGAGCTGACTGACACACCCTGCATGAGTGATGCAGCCTGTACGTGTATAAGCAGGTCTGAGTGTGTGTGAAAGTATGTATGTACCCCATCATCGTGTGCTGCGCTCATCTGAGCCGGTCCCATGGTGTGTCTCCAGTTTTTGATGACTGACGGATTGTCTGCTTCAACTCCGTTCTCCATTCTGTAATGACCTACAGGCACCTGGAGGGACCAAAACAATTGTTTTAGATAGTTTAATTGTAAAAAAATTAAACATTTGAAGGATGACATGACACATTTAAATACCTGTTATACTTCAAACAGTATATAAAACTACTTTTTGTGTCCTGAATGATATATTGCCGTATACTGTACACACACTTGTTGGCATTGATCCCTGTGTAGTGAAGGATCTTTACCTCAGGCAGGTTCCACAGAGACTTGGAGCCGTCCCTCAGATAGTAGTAGGTCTGCCCTTGTTCATCCACAGATTTGACCCACTGTTACATAACAAAACATTTAAAATCACTGTTGTTTTACAAGGAGGAAAGGTTTTAAAGTTTTTTCATTGCTTCATTTTGAAAGAATAGTGATCTCCCTACGTAATTCATCATCATTTTAACATTTCTCTCCTATACAAGATATAGCTATTATTATTGAATATTAACGCCTTAACAAATTATGTAAAATCAGTAATCAGATTACTGATACATTTAGGATTGCAATTTTAAAATACATTTTTGAAATAAAATACTATAAACCCTCATACAAATTAGTTACATAATTTCAGGACAAAAGTCTTGTACAATGGCCTCATAAGATAGTAAAAAACTACTTTAATGTGGTAGACGTTTCGCAGGAAAAGGGAACAACATCACTGTAGAGTGCACATTTTCGTAAAGCAGAGGTTTGCACAATTTCCAGTTAACCAAGATTTAAAAAAATGTGCTGCATACCAGCATGAAAAGACTTTCATAGGAAATAAGCAAAGCTTAAAATTTGAACATTTTTGGTAGTACAGTGCCAAATGAGTTGAGAGATGACAGCATGTTTACAGCTGTACGGCATCACTTGCACTGTACTGAGCTTGTTCCTCTTTTTCGCTTTAGTTACAAAACAAATAGTGACATTTCAGAATTTGTCTTGTGTCTTCATTTGCATATTTGGCAACGAGGCAATCAACTGGTAACAGAAAGTATTTAAGTTATATCAATTTAATTGTGTGATACTTGTGTTGAATACATTTTTTGAAAGGTATTTAGTAATTGTATCAGAATCTTTTTTAAAGTAACCCCTCCAAAACGTGCCTACATTGAAAAGAAGCTTTCATACATCTCTTACTGAAATGCCAATGTTTATCCAACACCCTTAAAGTGTTTTGCAATTTGAAATCAAGTCTATCTGTATATAGGACCTTTGTTGTCTTAAATCCCATCTTCCTCCTCTTTCATATCAGTCGGTGTTTGCAGCTACCTGCTCTGGGGAGTGTTCGCTGGTGAACACCCAGGTCCCGTTGGGCTGCACGTTGAGGTTCCAACCGTTCGGGGGGCTGCGGTCCAGGTTGGCCCGGGGGATGATGGTCCGGCCCGCATGACTGAGGGTGTACTCTTTAGGGAGAGTGGGGGGGCCCATGGCTAGGAGGTCCTCACTGCTCTCTGGATGAGCAGCAGCTGGGTTATTCTCTAGGGGGTAATCCTCATCAGGGAGAGGAGGCTGGGGATGAAAAGATGGGGGAAACATTAAAAAACCTGCATCTGAGCTGTGTCCAGGGACTAAATTATGTTTTTTGGGGTTGATTTTAAAAGTTTGTGGGTGCTAAAAAAGTACTTTTCTTTTTCACGATATTCAGTAAAGAAAAAAGGGAATAGTTCAACTTTTCAAAAGTTATTTGCCTTATTTTCAAGAATTACTTGAGAAGATGGATAACACTCATGTTTGTCTGTTAAATATGAAGCTACAGCCGTTAGCTTAGCTTAGCACAAAGCGCGGACAAACAGCTACCCTGGATATTAGTTATCCACCTAACAGCAAGTTCAATATTTACCAAGTAGTATCTTGTATAATCTTTCAAAAATGTTAAATTAAATGTATTCCAGTAATGGAGCTAAGCTAAGCTAATCGACTGCTCGCTGTAGCTTCATATTTAACACACAGTCATAAGAGTGGCATAGTATAGATCTTCTCAAATAAGTTTCAGCAGAAAGGTAATACATGTTGTTCCGAAAAAACCTCAAACTATTCCTTTGTTGAATTGAGCCATGACAGTAATAAATAGACTTAACACTAACCCTGTTCTTTGTCTAAATCAATCTTTTTGTGTTGAGGTATTTACATCTCACCGAATAATGTCATGTAAATTATTTCCCACTATGACCTAGATAAAGAGCTCAATAGCTTTTCCATGACATTGATAAATACTCTAAGTCACAGCATTTCCATGGCCTCAAATATATTCTCATTTCTAGCTCAAGAAAGTCATTAAGGGGCAGAAAAGAGGTCACTTCTGACTAAAAAAAGAACTGTAAACCATGTAATATTTCAATACAGTCTGACATGTACCTAACGTGAAGCACTTCTAAACATCTCTTGAATCTCCTTGAGTGTATTTGGAATTTCAATATGAGGATAAATGTCTTTTTAAAGTTAATGTTTTTGACATTGTGGTCTGAATCTGTGAGCTTCAGTAATGATAATGAGTGCTATGTAGGTGCAGCAGATTTAATTCAATTAAAAGCAGGCAGTATTTACAGCGCTCCCCTGGGTGAAGCTAAAACAGGAGACAGAGAGCGGCTAAGTGGAGCATCAAGGCTGTCCTTACCGGTCCGTCCTCATGGAACCTGTGCACACTCATGGGCTCCATCACGGGGGGGTACGGGCTCAGCTGCTCGGGGGGCTCCCAGGACGTTTCCCCGGACATGGCGTTGTAGAAGTAGGGCTGACCGCTGCTCTCATCCACTAACTGCTCCCAGTCTGAGGTCCACGCAGGTGGGGAGGACGGAGAAAGGGCGGGAGATTGAGGAGGTGAGGGGGAACAAGGAGGCTCAGGGTCTGTGGGGGAGTCTGGGAAGGGGCTGTCCCAGGTGGTGCGCCCCGTAGCGGGGTGGTAGAAGTACTCCTGTCCACTTTCTTGGTCAACGTGCACCTCCCATCCCTCTGGGTCAAGGTAGGAAGGAGAGTAGGATGAGGGAGCCGAGGGAGGAGACTCGGAGATGCTGTTGCGAAGCTGTGATACATTCACGTACACCGCTGACCGGAGACTTTCATTCTCAACCTGTGTAAAAATCAAAGAAACTATATTTAGGGAAGTACATTAACAGGTGCTTCCAGAGAACAAGAACGTAAGTTATGTTGGGAACACATTTGTATCCATTTCCTGCCACTTTACACTTCTTTCCACTGAAATTCAGAGCATGGTTTTTACTCTACTACATTGATTTGATATATACATAGATTCAGATTACAAACAAATAATCAACAAATAATTTGTTTAATATAGTTATTTTAACAGATTAAGAACAGCTTTATTTTTACATTGGTGGAATTCCCAAGCTACCAAGAAACATATATATATATATATATATTTTATATATAGTAGAAAGAAAACCCTCCTCCCCAGCTGCAAAACTAAAGTGATGAACACATTAATCCATCAATAAGCATTATCCAATAAATAAATGTACGGTCCTGAAACGGGCCATTGTGCAGAATTGTATATATATATGTATATATACAATAAGTTGTTGCTATTACTTTGGTACTTTTCAAAAGGTAACATTTTTAAAGCAGGACTGTTGTTTTTTTTACCTAAGTAAAATATCTTAGTACTTCTTCATCCACATCTGGCTTTTGTAGGCATTTTTCAAAGTAAAATGTTTCCAAATTACCCTGTTGTGTTTTTGTATTTTGCAACATTCTTCGGGGTCATGCAGTGTCAAGTACCAGCCTTCACTACAGCTCTTAATAAATCAGCCTTCCGCATCAGAAAGAGCACCAGAGCACAGGAAGTAGCTCACAGCTGAAAAAAAACACCCACCACAGTGTCGTTCCTCACAAAAATGATCATAACCTATTCTAGTGCGATTTTCAAAAACACCCACACACATGAATAACAGTTATTGTGCCAAAACAATGTCCAGAGGTTAAGTCTGTATTAACCAAAGCAGAAAAACGTTAACATCAGTGGTGTTTTTGTCTAAAAAGCCATTTTAAAGCTAGATAAAAAAAAGAACAACCATAGCAACGAGAGCCTTTGGCCACGGGCCAACTCAATGTAGAAAACTAGGTTAAACTTCCCCACCATCATCAGGCATTGTCTTGCCCTGCAGCAAAGCAACGACCTGCCCTATTATTAGTTATAACTAAGATTATTTTGTATTAAATACAAACTGCATTTCCACTTTCTGTCTGTTAGAGGCAAGCTGTTTGAACATCCCTGTCACGTTACAATCATAAATAGAGCTCTTGGCTGCATGGCATGCAAATCATCACAACACATTTGTTTAAAGAACGACAATTAGGAGTGATCTGACATGTGATGAAAGGCTGCCTCTGTCCTCTGACGCAATGAAAAGTGCAATTTTAAATGACCCTGCTGCCTGGATGAAAACAATGTGAACTTTCTTTAAGTTTTTCTCTCCTCACCTGTGCTCCACTGAGGTGATTCTTCCTCAGCGTGAGACTCGTGGGATCTACAGCCCTGCAGAGTCTTTCATACGCCTTCATGGTGGCACTTCACTCTTTCAGACAACACTCTAACTGCTTCTTGTCTCTCAGCTGACCTCATGGTCTATATTTACCAAGGCCTGAGACCTGTATTTCTGCATCTGTGTATCACTCTGCTAAATGTGCAGTGCTATAAAGAAGAGATGTATTACTAAGTAAGGTAAGGTGAGATAACTCATGCAATCTACAGGAAGATATTGCCAAAAACTGTCCTTCATTCATTTGAAATCTGTAGATAATTGTTACTTTGTCATATTGGATTTTCAAAACAAAATATGTGATCCACTCAAAGAAATATAATTAATCGTTCAGTGCTCCTTCTTCTTATCAAGTCATTTTGGTATGCAAGTCCTTAAAGTCGTATTATCTCCATGTTTATGAATGCTAGTCCACTTGGAATAAGTATTTTTTAAATAAATGTCTAATTAAAAATCCAACCGTATTCCTGTTTCAGACACTCCTTTGTAGAGTATTTTAAGAAAAACAGTAGATTGCTTGTCAGTTTATTCTGTAAACTTCCCAATTTCATGGAGACAATTCCAAAATACGTTCTAAACAAACGCATTTTCCTCAAACAAACATTGTTAGCAATGATACTATTCACCCGATTCTTATTTTTAAAGAACTTGTTTTTGGAGTACGCTTTTGAATACAGGACTTTTGCTTGGAATTTAGTATTTTGCCATTAGTTAAAGGTCCGGATACTTGGATAAACATTTTTATAAAATAATGAAGAGAGGAGAGCAGTGAGGGTTATGGATTTCATGATCAGCTGTGTTTTCTATCTGTCTATTCAATGTTATCACTTTGCTGACTCTCAATCTAACCTCAGTGCAGTCGATGCGGACAACCAGACAACTGACCCCTAAACAGATTGATTCAACCCAACACAGCCCGACTCCACACACACAGAAATAGGGAATGAAACAGCTGCATCATTGATCTCTGAAATAGCTACTCTGGATAACCCCCCATACTATGCAATGGAAGAAAAAATGTTGCAAGCAGATACATATCAGCAAACGCTGTGATTTAATGTGTGTGGGAGATGTCATCCCTTTGAAGGGAATAGCACTGAATACTAGCTTGTTCAATTCCTCTAAGTAAATGTACTAGTGGGGCTTAGTACTGGACTTCACTTGTGTTTTTTTTTTTATTGTATGCTACTTTATCTGTTCTCTGCTACTCCACCTCATTTATTTGAAAGCCGTAGATACCATCTTTTTTTGAAGACCTTATATACAAATACATTATATTATATAACATAGATGTGTTCTTCTTCTTTTTCGGCTTGTGACCCCAGTATTTTTTCACTTAACTTCTGGGATGTTTACAACTAAATAAATTGTTAAACGGCGTCCAATTCATTATTTCAAAGGAAGGTTTATAGAAAGGACCAAAAAGACAATGTTGCTCACATATTAATAAAAAAACAATCTCTCACTAGCTCCATTATTTCTCAGGAGTACTTTCACTTTTGATACTCTACAATTTGATGATTATATTTCTGTGTTTTCAGTTCGGATTCTGACTTCTACTTAAAGTTTCCAAACTATTGTATTGGTATTTTTACTGAAGTTAAGGATCTGAACTGATTTGACACCCAATTTTGTGGTGTAATGGTGGACACTATCAACCTTTTCTCCAACAAAGACTGGTAGAAAACATTTTTGTTATTCTGACCTTAAAACAGACAACCTTGAAAGAAAAATATCCTTGTGAGAAACATTTTAAAATGTTCTGTCACTGTGTTTTGACAGAGCAACATAGTGTACAGTGTGATATCACACAACTTAACACCTGAAAATGTCAAAACTGAACCAATAGATACAGTTTCTCCCCACTGCTTTCAGAAGTATTACATATTTGCTGATGAAAATATCAACACAGAAGAACAAAAGTTGTTCTTTAACATCCATAATAAAAATGTAAACCAACAATTACAATAGATGAGCAGATCAGTTCATGAAAAGAAACAAGTGCAGGGGTGTTAAGCTTACGCAAAGCAGGAAGCAATACTGTCATAGAACACTAAATTGTTATAAAACATGCTGACCACAGAGAATAAAGTTGTACAATATAGCAATAAAAGCTGATTTGATGTTGTTGTGATCACCTACCTGAGGAACCACGGGCAGAGTCATTCCCCGCTTGCCCCCGTGACTTGACCAAACCCTCGAATACATGTCCATCATCTTTATATCGTTCTATTTAGAGGAGCCATGTATGCAAATATACAAATGGACTCCGAATGGATCTATCATAAGCGAGCTAGAACCAAGATCAATCAACTTGTGATGGGAAATACACGCACATTCATGAGCAACCCCTGAACGCTCACATCTTCCTCTCGCAGCAGATGTGACAGTTGCAGCCCAGATAGAAAGGAGAACTGTTACAATAGCAGCAGGAAGGGGCTGTGTGAGGACTGGGTGAGACGATTGTGTGTGTGTGTGTGTGCGTGCGTGCGTGCGTGCGTGCGTGCGTGCGTCCGTGCGTGCGTGCGTGCGTGCGTGCGTGCGTGCGTGCGTGCGTGCGTGCGTGTCACATGTGTGAATTCCTGTGTACAGGGTAGGGGGGGTAAAGGGTAACTGTCTGTGTTGTCGCGCAATGAGACTAGGAAGACAAGATAGAGAATAGGGTTTGATTGCAGGAGCAACGTAAACAGAAAAAGGCCAAGTCAACATACTTCCTGATTGAGTACTCATATGGTAAAAAAATAAATGTCTAAATGGAAACAAGTTGTTTTTAAGGGGTCACACCAGGAACCATAGTGTTATTCTCAAAGGAAAATGTTATAGACAATAAAAACACTTTGCTTTTGTCTACAGCAGCTGCTTTAAAGGGTTCATTATTTGATCCTCTAGTACAGTAGGTCAAGCAGATACTAATGGTGAAAAAAGGGAAGTAATAATTTCCCACAATAATACGCAAGATATTTTTTTGACAGGATATTCTGATGAAACATTGTGTTGTTAAAGTCCACGAGGCATGAAACAGGAAGTCTGGGTTTAAGGCCAACTGTTTCCACCATTACTTCCTTCAACAGGGGGCAGACAGCAGGCGGTGCATTTTGTGGCTGTTTTTGGGGCTAGGGTTAAACTCAAATTAGGTTTGAAGCATGTTGGTAGCCCTTGTGTTTATACCGCAACATCCATGTTTGCCGATTGCTTTCGAAGTTTCAGTATGTGCCACTGCTGTGCCACTTCCTGGAACATCCTGGAGAGAGGAAAGTTGATTAAAAATGATTATACTGGTGTCACAAAAGGCACTAATTTAATAAAAAGTCATTTCGCGTTTTACCACTACCCAATTTTTTTTCCACTGGAATATTAGATGTTCAAAGCAAAGGCAACAGAAGTCCGGTGCTGTAGCATTAAGAGCAAGAAAGCCAATGTATGGCAGAAAGGGTGAAAAAGAGACAAGACTTTCACCAGGAGAACGCTTTTTCTAACAAACATACTTATTTATACGCAAACAATGATCTTTTCCTAAACCTAACCATGAAGTATTGTTGCCTAAAAACAACCAAGCAGTTGTAGTCAGTGC